GATTTGCATCCGAAGACTCCTCTCTTTGCTGGAAATAATCCACTCAAGTACTAGCGGATATATGGATATTCTCACAATATAAACTACAAAAAAAAATAATAATATATTATTTCTATAATTTATATAATTTGGCAAAAAAAAGAGATATCAGTAACCTTTTAAATACGTCTCCAAAAATTAAGAGAATAATTTAAGAGAATATTAAGAGAAAAAATAAAAGAATAAATTATTTTGTAAAAGCCCATATAAATGTATAATTATGTGATAATGGCACTAGTAAGTGGTCATAACAAAAATACCTATATATTTTATATCGACCCTGTATATAGAAATATAGAAAAGATTTTTTTTTTACGATCAAAATCGATTTTTTTTATAATTGATGATTTGAAATTATGAAATTGTTATGAATTACTAAATATAAAAGAACTAAACTGATTTGAATCACCATATTTACGGGACATTGTCTAATAGGTAGACAACAGGTAGACAATTAGGTGGTCTTATCAACATCCACTGTAACTATGACTTAATGGAGGAAAAGAATAATGTCACTTATATGCTCTGTCATAGCTCAGTACTCGTCTAAGACAGATTTATTATTTAGAGGTCTTGCTTCCTCAAGTGCCATGTGTCCTTTTCACTAAAATAAAAAAGTGGTCCGCTGTTAAAAAATGTAGTATTACTATGGGTACACATAAAAGACATAAGTGAGCTTCTGCCAAGTATTTTCATTGTAACTACTACAATTTCTAATCCATTGTGTGGATGAAATGAAGTGTAGAACATAATTTTTAAACAATTCTTGTTTCACACGTGCTTTATGAGAAGGTGCCGAGTCAAAAGCAACTTTCAAAACATTTTCCCGATAATAAGTTGCATTGACTTTGACATCAGGTTCGATGAAAACGATTGGAGAGCGTCCATCGACGCGATCATAGCTGTCCATACTATTACTTGAAATGAAAAATACTTCGGGTGACAATTCGTAGTCTCAAATTTTAAGCATTCTGTACGCAATGCGATAATTTTGATAGTTTGTGAACTACTCACTGGAGAAAATTTTCTCATTATAGAACACAATGTTTGGAAATTCGGCACGTTCGTGCAAGCATAATAACTCCTTTGCTCTATCGAATCTAACTTTTTGTTGCTTTGGTGTAAGATCTTGTGTCTTTTCGAACTTATAAGGCTTTACCTTGAGTCCATTTTGGATTGTGCGTCCAATGCTTCGCTAGGATATTTTCAGTTGTTTTGGACATTTAATTAGCACTGGATGAAATAACGTGGATTTCTTTTAAGTCGAGCCTTCACTTTCCGAACCATTTTAGATGATTTTGCGATTTTTTTAGTCCACTACCATAGCATTTCGCGACGCTGCCTATACTATTATATCGATATATGATACGATACACAAATATTTTATTCACTTTGAGGTATTTGAGTTCACGAAAAATAGCTGTTTGTGATTTTCCGGTGAAATATAACGCAATCACACTATTACGTTTGAATTGCATTTCGAATAACTTTTGTTCTATAAAACTTAGACGCAAATGCTTGTGGTAGCTTATAAACAATTTAAACAGCTGTCATTTGTAAGCATTTCACGTAGTTGGCAATATCAGTTTGGCAGATATACCTGTGTGTAATTGGTAACACTTCAATCGCCTCACACTGTATAGCTACTACTCTACTACTTCCATAACTAAAATTTTATCACAGTTTAAACTATTTTGAATCAACCAGTTGGTCGCATATTGATTATAAATTTTATATTTTTTTAAATTATTTAACCTTTCTGAATCAAACAGTCATCTGAATTTATTCTATTTTATTACAGTTTGCAAAATAATTTTCTCATACAGAAGTTGAAAGCATGCTCACACACCAAGATGGGTAATAGCATAACGCACGCGTACCAAACTTCTACCACCACAAGAAGCCATAACTCACGGTACCGCCAACAAGAGCATGTAGCGGACTTTAAATCGAAAACCCTGCCAGCACGGCATACGCGCAGCTCAACATCAACGCACTACGATGTAAATTTCCATCCAGATAATCAGACCACACAAAAGAGTAGCACACAAGGCACACCAAATGGTGAAACATCCCGAATGCTGTTTCTTCTATACTTAATACACCGCACCTGGAATGTAGTTGTGGATAGTGTGGATACGCGCAGCAAGAGGTATGATTGCCAAATATTTTTAAAAACGGTACAAGTAGCTATAGATTGGAAGCCGTAAGCTATGTTATGAGCCTCGAATTTATTGTAAATCTTTAACTAAAATTTCAAATTTTAATTTCGTTGCCTCCTATTTATTTGTATTATTTGTTTTTTTTTTTTGTTTTGACAGGTCTCGTAAATCCAGTAGTGTGCAATCGGAATTGAGTACTCCACCGGCAGCAACAGCCGCTACGGCATATTTTGAGCAGGAAAACAAAAGCGGTGCTCCTACCATTACAGATTTGGATGATGATATCGAGGCTGCATCGTCGCTCTGCTGTTCACAGTATTCGTTTTGCAGCTGCAGTTATTGCTACGACACAACACAAAACGTGTATAATTCGATTGCAGACGATTGTTCCATCGACTCAATTGATGCACATACCATATCCAGATGCGAAAGGTAAGTGTTATTTCAGATTAGTGCAACTCTAAAAGAATTTAGTACAAGGCGTGCTCTTTTCTTTTTTATGTCAAATCCAAATTTCATATGACTATTACATGATATAAAAAAAATGAATTTATTATACGTTATAATAATAAATATTAAAATGATGTAGGATTTATGCTATATAAACTATACAAAGGTTGTATAATGAGGAGTACGCACACTTCTAAAAAAATTTTAATTATCGTTTTCTGATAAATATATGCACACTTCTATTGATTTCTGGAATATAGATCCATAGTTTATTTTTTGATAATATTTGGCTCCATAATATCGTCTTAAGAATTCCTTTGAAACGTACATTTACATTAGCTTATGGTGGGTATTAACTAACTTAAGAATATTCATCACTCAGTAAATATAAGTGAAGATAAATGAAAACATCGAAATTATTTGCGAATACTTAAAATAACATAGAAACTGTTATTAAATTTTTTGGAATAGATTTTTTGCCTATAACTTGCACTGAATAAATAAACTACATAAAGACTTATTTTGATCTTTCTAAAAAAATTAATAATACAATAGTTTGCTGCTTAAAATATCTTTGATCGCGTGAAATTTACAGTGATTGTAAAATGGTAAAATTATATTTCTATGTTTAAACTTATCTATCAACAGTTTGAAATGCATTACAGTTGAAACAGACCAGAATGTGATCCTAAAATCATGCAACAAAATTTTCAATAAAACATAATGTTTCCACATTTCTAACGATTGAAAAAAATATGTACACAATTTACCAACCCAATTTATCACGTTCTCAGCAGTGCTTCATAACAAGATCAGGACGAGGGTATTCCAACTTAACTCACCTCCATTTGCTCAAAAGGGATGTACAATCAACATACAAATGTGAATATTTTCTAAATATATTCATATATATATATTCTATTCTTTATTCTATATTCCATGAGCCATCTCAGACCCCACCACCGACACCAGCCCTTTCAACGCAATCAAGAATAGCAAGTACTATATAATATATGTACACCTATTCACATAGTTGGTAATATCAGTTTGAAAAATATACCTATATGTAGTTGGTAACACTTCAATCCCATAACCCTGTATATAATATACAATATTAGGTGATATAAAAAGTTCCAACGGTTTTTTGTCACTAGATGATATTGGTGCCCACACTAATCCGATTGTGTCAAATGATATATATCAAATATTATTTCTCGCCACATTTTTTTGAAGACAGTTGTGTGATTCGTTGCTTGCATATAAAGTAGTATCGATTTGAAATATAATACATAAATATTATTAAAAATAAAATAAATAAAAATTTAAGTAATTAATTATAATTAAATCGATATTCATTCATGCTCGTATTTAACAAATTTTACTAATTCCTTATGCCTAAATTTCATAAATCAAAATCTAGAAAATTAAATAATCTTTTTTTAATGCTCAAAATATTTTATTTATTAATTGATTAGGTTTCAAAGTTTAATATACTCGTAAGTAAATAAATTTAGCAACTGCCACAGAATCAACTAATTAATAGTAATTAATAATAAGAGTAAGTCTACTCTTTGTTTGCGCTGTTCTTCTTATAGGCAGCACTTAATTCACAAAGTTTGTGAAGAATGTAGTCCAATTTCGATGGAGTGTCAGGTGGAGCGTTATAAGCTTGTAGGTTACCAACCCTTGGTTGAGGATAATCCAATTGGTATGAAGGATATGCTTGATGACGCATATCACCCACATTCGGATACGATCTAGGATATGCAACTGGATATGATGGATATATAGGGTGATGCATTGAAGCACCATCATAATAATGTCCCATAGAAGGCTGATGATATGCTGATGGTTGATAAATAGAGCCTTGCCCAGGAGACATGTAGTCAAAATATCCATAATCATCTCCGTGATAACTATAAGGTAATGGCGGTAATGGCTTATAAGTGGGTTTCGTATATACAGTTGAAGAAACAGGTTGCATAGTTGATGGCTTCGTTGTCTTTGAAGTTGTTGAATTGTCAGAAGTAGTTGTGGTACTTTCAGTAGTGGATGGCAGTATTAATGTTGTAGAAAAAGTTGTAGTAGTCGAAGGCGATGGCGAAGGATCGCTGACAGTAGATGGCTCTTCTGTTGTTGTCTTCTTTGTAGTAGTTGAGGTTGTTGTATCACCAACAGTTGAGGATGGCTTAGTAGTTATATAAGGGTACTTGATTATTGTAGATGGTGATTTCGTTGTTGTTTCTAGTTTTCGAGTTGTTGTCCTCCTAGAATAAATGACAGTTGGAAATTCAGTGGTTATCATTGGATCTTTAGTTGCCTCACTTGGTTTTTCTGTAGTTGTAGGTTTAGCTGTCGTTCCCTTTGTGGTTGTTGTAAAAGGTTTCTCTGTAGATGTCGTTGTTTTTGGCCTCTTTGTGTATACTGTAGATTCAACTGTCGTTTTTGTGGTTGTGGTTCTTGGTTTTGCTGTCGTTGTTATTTTGGTAGTTGTGGTTGTGTCAGTTGGTTTTTCTGTAGTTGTAGGTTCAGCTGTCGTTGTTATTTTAGTAGTTGTGGTTGTATCAGTTGGCTTTTCTGTAGTTGCTATTTTCGTAGTTGTGGTTGTATCAGTTGGTTTATCTGTAGTTGTAGGTTTAGCTGTCGTTGTTATTTTGGTAGTTGTGGTTGTATCAGTTGGTTTTTCTGTCGTTGTTATTTTGGTAGTTGTGGTTGTATCAGTTGGTTTTTCTGTTGTTGTTATTTTGGTAGTTGTGGTTGTATCAGTTGGTTTTTCTGTTGTTGTTATTTTGGTAGTTGCGGTTGTATCAGTTGGTTTTTCTGTAGTTGTAGGTTTAGCTGTCGTTGTTATTTTCGTAGTTGTGGTTGTATCAGTTGGTTTTTCTGTAGTTGTTATTTTGGTAGTTGTGGTTGTATCAGTTGGTTTTTCTGTTGTTGTTATTTTGGTAGTTGTGGTTGTATCAGTTGGTTTTTTGTAGTGTAAGCTTACTGCGTGGTTTATTTTCGTAGTTTGGTTGTATCAGTTGGTTTTTCTGTTGTTGTTATTTTGGTAGTTGTGGTTGTATCAGTTGGTTTAGCTGTCGTTATTTTCGTAGTTGTGGTTGTATCAGTTGGTTTTTCTGTTGTTGTTATTTTGGTAGTTGTGGTTGTATCAGTTGGTTTTGCTGTCGTTGTTATTTTGGTAGTTGTGGTTGTATCAGTTGGTTTTTCTGTAGTTGTTATTTCGGTAGTCGTGATTGTGGCAGTTGGGTTGTATTAGTTGGTTTTTCTGTTGTTGTTATTTTGGTAGTTGTGGTTGTATCAGTTGGTTTTTCTGTCGTTGTTATTTTCGTAGTTGTGGTTGTATCAGTTGGTTTTTCTGTTGTTGTTATTTTCGTAGTTGTGGTTGTATCAGTTGGTTTTTCTGTAGTTGTAATTTTGCTGTTGTGGTTATATCAGAAGGTGTGGCTGTAGCAGTAGGTTTTTCTGTTGTTGTTATTTTGGTAGTTGTGGTTGTATCAGTTGGTTTTTGTGTTGTTGTTATTTTGGTAGTTGTGGTTGTACCAATTGGTTTTTCTGTAGTTGTAGATTTAGCTGTCGTTGTTATTTTGGTAGTTGTGGTTGCTGTAGTTGTAGGCTTAGCTGTCGTTGTTATTTTCGTAGTTGTGGATGTATCAGTTGGTTTTTCTGTTGTTGTTACTTTGGTAGTCGTGGTTGTATCAGTTGGTTTTTCTGTAGTTATAGGTGTAGCTGTCGTTGTTATTTTCGTAGTTGTGGTTGGTTTTTCTGTAGTTGTAGGTTTAGCTGTCGTTGTTAAGTTGGTAGTTCTGTAGTTGTAGGTTTTTCTGTTGTTGTTATTTTGGTAGTTGTGGTTGTATCAGTTGGTTTTTCTGTAGTTGTAGGTTTAGCTGTCGTTGTTATTTTGGTAGTTGTGGTTGTACCAATTGGTTTTTCTGTAGTTGTAGATTTAGCTGTCGTTGTTATTTTGGTAGTTGTGGTTGTATCAGTTGGTTTTTCTGTAGTTGTAGGCTTAGCTGTCGTTGTTATTTTGGTAGTTGTGGATGTATCAGTTGGTTTTTCTGTTGTTGTTACTTTGGTAGTTGTGGTTGTATCAGTTGGTTTTTCTGTAGTTATAGGTGTAGCTGTCGTTGTTATTTTGGTAGTTGTGGTTGTAACAGTTGGTTTTTCTGTAGTTGTAGGTTTAGCTGTCGTTGTTATTTTGGTAGTTGTGGTTGTATCAGTTGGTTTTTCTGTTGGTTGTTATTTTGGTAGTTGTGGTTGTATCAGTTGGTTTTTCTGTAGTTGTAGGTTTAGCTGTCGTGGTTATTTTGGTAGTTGTGGTTGTATCAGTTGGTTTTTCTGACGTTGTTATTTTCGTAGTTGTGGTTGTATCAGTTGGTTTTTCTGTTGTTGATATTTTGGTAGTTGTGGTTGTATCAGTTGGTTTTTCTGTAGTTGTAGGTTTTTCTGTTGTTGTTATTTTGGTAGTTGTGGTTGTATCAGTTGGTTTTTCTGTTGTTGTTATTTTGGTAGTTGTGGTTGTATCAGTTGTTTTTTCTGGTTGTTGTTATTTTCGTAGTTGTGGTTGTATCAGTTGGTTTTTCTGTTGTTGTTATTTTGGTAGTTGTGGTTGTATCAGTTGGTTTTTCTGTAGTTGTAGGTTTTTCTGTTGTTGTTATTTTGGTAGTTGTGGTTGTATCAGTTGGTTTTTCTGTAGTTGTAGGTTTAGCTGTCGTTGTTATTTTGGTAGTTGTGGTTGTACCAATTGGTTTTTCTGTAGTTGTAGATTTAGCTGTCGTTGTTATTTTGGTAGTTGTGGTTGTATCAGTTGGTTTTTCTGTAGTTGTAGGCTTAGCTGTCGTTGTTATTTTGGTAGTTGTGGATGTATCAGTTGGTTTTTCTGTTGTTGTTACTTTGGTAGTTGTGGTTGTATCAGTTGGTTTTTCTGTAGTTATAGGTGTAGCTGTCGTTGTTATTTTGGTAGTTGTGGTTGTAACAGTTGGTTTTTCTGTAGTTGTAGGTTTAGCTGTCGTTGTTATTTTGGTAGTTGTGGTTGTATCAGTTGGTTTTTCTGTAGTTGTAGGTTTAGCTGTCGTTGTTATTTTGGTAGTTGTGGTTGTATCAGTTGGTTTTTCTGTTGTTGTTATTTTGGTAGTCGTGGTTGTGTCAGTTGGTTTTTCTGTAGTTGTAGGTTTAGCTGTCGTTGTTATTTTCGTAGTTGTGGTTGTATCAGTTGGTTTTTCTGTTGTTCTTATTTTGGTAGTTGTGGTTGTATCAGTTGGTTTTTCTGTAGTTGTAGGTTTAGCTGTCGTTGTTATTTTGGTAGTTGTGGTTGTATCAGTTGGTTTTTCTGTAGTTGTGGATTTTGATGTCGTTGTTATTGTAGTTGTCGTAGTGGGTTTCTGTGTGGATGCTGTTGTTCTTGGTCTTTTCGTAGATTTTGTTGTATTTACTGTTGTTGTTACTGTCGTTGACTCAGTTGGTTTTTCTGTAGTTGTAGGTTTAGCTGTCGTTGTTATTTTCGTAGTTGTGGTTGTATCAGTTGGTTTTTCTGTTGTTGTTATTTTGGTAGTTGTGGTTGTATCAGTTGGTTTTTGTGTTGTTGTTATTTTGGTAGTTGTGGTTGTATCAGTTGGTTTTTCTGTAGTTGTAGGTTTAGCTGTCGTTGTTATTTTCGTAGTTGTGGTTGTATCAGTTGGTTTTTCTGTAGTTGTAGGTTTTTCTGTTGTTGTTATTTTGGTAGTTGTGGTTGTATCAGTTGGTTTTTCTGTAGTTGTAGGTTTAGCTGTCGTTGTTATTTTGGTAGTTGTGGTTGTACCAATTGGTTTTTCTGTAGTTGTAGATTTAGCTGTCGTTGTTATTTTGGTAGTTGTGGTTGTATCAGTTGGTTTTTCTGTAGTTGTAGGCTTAGCTGTCGTTGTTATTTTGGTAGTTGTGGTTGTATCAGTTGGTTTTTCTGTTGTTGTTATTTTGGTAGTTGTGGTTGTATCAGTTGGTTTTTCTGTAGTTGTAGGTTTTTCTGTTGTTGTTATTTTGGTAGTTGTGGTTGTATCAGTTGGTTTTTCTGTAGTTGTAGGTTTAGCTGTCGTTGTTATTTTCGTAGTTGTGGTTGTATCAGTTGGTTTTTCTGTAGTTGTAGGCTTAGCTGTCGTTGTTATTTTGGTAGTTGTGGTTGTATCAGTTGGTTTTTCTGTTGTTGTTACTTTGGTAGTTGTGGTTGTATCAGTTGGTTTTTCTGTAGTTATAGGTGTAGCTGTCGTTGTTATTTTGGTAGTTGTGGTTGTAACAGTTGGTTTTTCTGTAGTTGTAGGTTTAGCTGTCGTTGTTATTTTGGTAGTTGTGGTTGTATCAGTTGGTTTTTCTGTAGTTGTAGGTTTAGCTGTCGTTGTTATTTTGGTAGTTGTGGTTGTATCAGTTGGTTTTTCTGTAGTTGTAGGTTTAGCTGTCGTGGTTATTTTGGTAGTTGTGGTTGTATCAGTTGGTTTTTCTGACGTAGTTATTTTCGTAGTTGTGGTTGTATCAGTTGGTTTTTCTGTTGTTGTTATTTTGGTAGTTGTGGTTGTATCAGTTGGTTTTTGTGTTGTTGTTATTTTGGTAGTTGTGGTTGTATCAGTTGGTTTTTCTGT